ATCTCTCATATTTATGTATTTTTTTCCAAGATAGTCCTCTTAACAATGTTAGTTATAGCCAATACACTTGATTAGCAAAGATATTTTCGGAAAAACAACACCTATTTATTACAAATAATTAACTTAACTTCTTTTCCTAATTTTCTCAAATTAATCAACTAGCTTTTATAATTAGAACCAAAAGTAGTATCCTGTTTGAATAGGACCAAAGACAAAACCAAGTCAATGAAGAATCGATCCGAAAGGAGGTTACGTCTCTGCAGTAGGGTGTAGCCTTGTGTGCATGAGAGGACGTAGCACCATGTGAGACAGCAGCGGCAAATAGTTCTCTTGCAAATAAATCTCTTTTTGAGAATTTTTATATTATACTGATATATAGTAACTTAAAGTGAGAATGACCATTAAAAATTTTGTAAGAGAATTAATCCAAAATAAGGACATTCAAGTTAAAAATTTGATTAACCAGACAAACAGTCAAGATTCTCAAACTCCCATTCTCGGCTTTTTTACTCAGATACGATGAACAATAAAATTTTTTGCTCAGATATGATAAGATCAAAACTATTTACCAAGACACTACACCTGAAATTGTTCAGACCGTGAATGACTTTAAATCGGTACAGAACTCGTTCTTGGTCTGAACAACTTTAGTGGGACCCATATCAAAAAATGAAAGTTGTTCTTGGTCTGAACAACTTCAGTGGGACTCACAATCTATATTTGTCTTATGCTTTATGTGAAATTACTTCCTTCCATGCCTTTTTTATTTTCATTTGACCAGATCAGACCATACTTTTGTTTTTTCTTGCCACATGCAAAGTCACTCAGGAATTAGCCTTTCATTGTTTTAAGCTCAACTCACGCGTAAGGATTCCTTCCCTACATATTCCTATCAGTATAGGACTCAGGGAGTGGTTATTCATTGTCTTCAGCTTTGTTTTGGCATGTGAGTGTATAGTGTAATTTTGGTCTATATAATGGCATTCGACATTCTTACTCTATATGCCTTCTCATCACTTCTCAAATTGTTCTTAAACTTGGCTGATTCCTTCCATGTAAATTTACCTTTATGTGCTTATCATTATTCAATGTAAATTTACTTTTCTGTGCTAGTCAAAGAATAATTATATTCGTTTTAGCCTCTAATTTCTAAAATATATACAATTGCAAGACCGCACACACCACCTATTTCACACGAAAGTGTGGAAGGAGAAAGAAGAATAGAAGGAATCAACCAAGTTTAAGAACAATTTGAGAAGTGATGAGAAGGCAGATAGAGTGAGAATATCGAATGCCATTATATAGACCAAAATTACATTATACACTTACATGCCAAAACAAAGCCGAAGACAATGAATGACCACTTTCTGAGTCTTATACTGATGGGAATATGTACGAAAGGAATCCTTACTCGTGAGTTGAGCTTCAAACAATGAAAAACTACTCCCAAAGTGACTTTGCGTGTAGCAGGAAAAAACAAAAGTATGGTTTGATCTAATCAAATGAAAATTGAAAGGGCATGGAAGGAAGCAATTTCACATGGAGCATAAGACAAATATGGATTGTGGGTCCCACTAAAGTTGTTCAGACCAAAGACAACTTTCATTTTGTGATGTGAGCCCTACTGAAGTTGTTCAGACCACGAACAACTTTCATTTTGTAATGTGGGTCCTACTGAAGTTATTCAGACTAAGAACAACTTTCATTTTTTGATCTGGGCCCCACTAAAGTTGTTCACAACCAAGAACAAGTTCTGTACAGATTTAAAGTCGTTCATAGTCTGAACGATTTCAGGTATAGTGTCTTGGTAAATAGTTTTGATCTTATCGTATCTGAGTAAATTTTTTTATTGTTCATTGTATCTAAGTAAAAAAGCCCCCATTCTCTCTATGCTATCGAACATTTGTAACATTAATAGGGAACGAACATCTCCCTCCTTTTCCAGTAAATACAAGCTCTGTGTGATATCGAAAGAAAACACTGTTTTCCATTGCTCCCATTAGGACATTGGTTGAAGTTATTGGATTGTACCTCCGAACTTGCCCATCTTCCATTTCTAGTCTGACGTCAAGATTCATCCTTGCACCTAGTATGCGAGCAGGATCTATCACTTCTGTTGTTATTTTGTAGACATTTGTCCATGACTCGTGATTAGCATATTGTTTCATAATCCACAGGGAAAAAACACAAGGTCCTCTATGATCTGCTATTGTCTTTTCTTGTATAGTAAGAAGAAAGTCTCCCGTTGTCACAATAGAATTCCAACTAAAAGGATCTGTACAAAGAGTTTCCGGAAGTAATATCTGTCCAAACACTTCATGTGTCAGATCAAATGTAAGTATAAAGTCATATTCTTCTTCTATGTGTGTGGCAGTCCAATGAAGCACACCATTGAAGAAGACGTGGGGAAAGGCAGGACGAATGAAGCATGGAGGGATGCTACATATGAGACGTTTCCATGAGAAAGAAAGCCCAAGCTGAATCAATCTCAGCGTAAATCTGAATCTTATCACCAGAACGATGAACAAGGTTTACAATCTTAAAGTCATTGCTGTTACGATCAAATCCAAAGCCTACATTATGTGCTCTTTCATCCCAAGTCATGACGCGAGGAAGCCACACATATTTTCGAACACTTGGGTTCCAAAGAATAAATTAAGTCTACTGACAAGACATACTAACCCATTATTGATGCCTATCACTTCTGTGCCTTTAAACTCATTGATGGCAGGACTCCCTATTGTGCGAATCAAATCAAATCGATCGTTATCCCAATGCAGCGAATACGTTAGTCGGTAATGTGGGAAATAAATATATGCCCTTTCACCATTTGGTGCCCTCTTTTTGCAGCGACAAACTTTAATGAGAGTACTTGGTTTTTGGAATCAAAATTTCGGTCTGAGCAGCGAGTTACGAAATCGGAACTAGTAATAAGGACATTCCAGTCTCTACAAATGAAGGCGCGTCGAAACAGGGTTGAGGCGTCTAGTCTGAGCAAAATTTCTTAAAAGGAATGCTGGCATTAGAGGCTGCAGCGTGTTTGCGACAGGGTTTTGCTTCCATGGAAACCGCTATGAGTTCGACAGCGTTGAGAGGAAGAAGAGAAAATATATAATAACAGGCGCCTGGGGTTTGGGGGTTCACGGCTTGATGGTAGGTCAGGCTTGGAATGGGGCCGCATCCGTCTGTCTATATTTTGCGATGGTTATTATTTATATTAATTGATATTAATTAATTTTATGATTTGCTTCAATTTTTTCCAAACTCACCTCTGCTGCGGATAATTCAAGATCATGTTTGGCACTATTTAACATTAATGCGATCAAAGACACACCCAAGTCGATGAAGATTTGATCCAAATCGTAGGGAATAAAATAACTTAAACAACAAACTGCTACTTACTATCTTCCGTTTTAATTATAAGAGTTAGCTGACTAATTTGAGAAAATTAAAAAAATAAGTTAAGTTATTTATTGTAATAGATAGGTATTATATTTCTTAAAATATCTTTGCTAGTTAAGTGTATTAGATAGAATTATTATTACTAGAAGGACTATCTTAAAAAAAAATGCATAAATATGAGAGATAAAGTGAATTGGGATCTTATATTTAGAACGAAATTAAAAATCAAACAAGGTCTTATATTAAGAACGTGCTTGTGCAGCCATCGTGCGAGACATCTGCAGCATGTAGCTCTCTTGTAAATATCTTGCCTGATGCATTTAATCAACAAAGATGGTCAATCCAATAAATTGGCTTACCGTTATGTTACCTTCCACTCTTAATATAAAAACTAAGTAAGTAATTTGAAGAGATTAAATAAATTAATTAAATCGGTTAATTGTATTAAATTGATGTTATTTTCTCCAAAATACCACCACACATCAATCATGCATTGAAATTACCCCTTTATAAAAACTCTTTAACATATGCAATCACTAAACAGATTAATTGGGAGTAAAATAGATAAATATTAAAAACAGATTGAAATCTTATAATTATGGTTAAATTAAATCTCTGAGTAGCTTTTATAATATTAAGAAGAAGAGGTGGGATTAAATATGACCTGCTGCCAATAGAGTATTATCCCTTGTGATTTGAAACGGGCACATGGCTGCTAAGTCTCGTGTCATTACTTTTAAATGTGGAATGTTTGGAAGTCAAAAGAATAATCTCCCAGCGAATCAAACTTGTGCCCTGCGTGGAATAAACTCTCCCGGCAAGAAGTATGAGCTGTGAAACATCACCAAGGATCGAGGGTAAGCAAGAGATCTCTTGTTTAGAAAACAGAATATGGCAAGTCACGACGTGATAGAAGATTGGAATAGTCAATCTTTTTGTAACTCGGCCTCCACTACAAAAACAATAATAGTTCAGGTCACAATGACCTTTATGTGGTACTGACATGATCTAGTTTGGGTTTCCAAAACACTATTGGCAAGTTGAGTGATGACCAATGATAATTGCGTAGATTTGTCTTTCACCTGAATTAAATGTATTTTCAAATATTTCACCTTCAACTGACAATGCTCACCTAGTTAAATTTAAGTTGAATCAACGTGTTATGCCATTTTATTTTCATTACATTTAATTTCAAGTGAAATTTATGGCCAATAAAAAAGAAGAGAAATCTGACGCCGGGAAAATGCCAGACCCTTATCTCAGAGACACAAAAAAAGGTGCCCGTCATTTCTTTAGTCCTGTCTAGAAAGTAGAAACGATGTTGTGGATCAATCATGTAACTTGGAATGGGGTATACCAATTTGCACCGGCGAAGCCTAGTGACCTCGGAGGCTCAAAACGACAATTCTTTTTGGTCCTGAAAGTGAAAACTGGATGACGAGGCTCCAAAGCACTGATAATGATATTTCCCGCTCCAAAGCGCCCACTCAAATAGTCTGCCACGCTGGCGATCCGCGAGCTCCCCCGCTCGGCTAATCACAGGGCAGCTCGGGGTTCTATATAAAGCTAAGCCTCTCACACGTCCTCATAAATCCCTGCCCTGCGAAGCTTCCTCAAGATCCTGCCCAATTCAGACTTCTCTGCAATTTCAAATTTAACATTCCCGCCATACCATGAGTTCCGAGGCTACCGTGACAGCGACCAGGGGTGGCAGAGGCAAACCTAAGGCCAAATCCGTATCCAAGTCCCAGAAAGCTGGCCTTCAGTTTCCCGTTGGACGCATCGCCCGTTATCTCAAAGTTGGTCGCTATGCCCGGCGCGTAGGGTCTGGGTCCCCTGTTTACCTCTCCGCTGTTCTTGAGTATCTCGCTGCTGAGGTTTGTGATTTTTGGACTCCCTTGTTTAGTTTTTGTTTTGTTATTTGAATTTTCGTATTGATTGTTCTTTGCGTATATAGGTTTTGGAATTGGCTGGGAATGCGGCCCGGGATAACAAGAAGACCAGGATCATCCCTAGGCACATTCAACTTGCTGTGAGGAACGATGAAGAACTAAGCAAACTGCTGGGGGCTGTGACCATTGTAAGTGGGGGCGTGCTGCCGCAAATCCATCCCACTTTATTACCCAAGAAGAATCTAAAAGATAAGCCTGAAGTTGGCTCTGCGAGTCAGGAGTTTTAGACCGCATCCAGACCTTAGCAATATATCTATGAAAAGTTTAAAGTAAATTATCTTTTGTTTCGTTCTCCTGTACTGATAAGTAGGATGGAATGGCATTAGAATTCAGCTCTGTAAATCCATATTTCCTTAAATGAAAGGAGTTTAATTTGTTTTGTCAATGCATACGTGTGCATTTTGCCGAAAAGCTACACAACATCGTTTATGACTTCAAAATAAGCTTGTTTGAACGGAAATACTGAAAATCGAGACTTGTTAAACCTCGAGTTTGAGTGAAGTCGGCGGAATTACTAAGAACACAGGTTGAAAGATATCCTATCATCTTTTGTTTTAATCGCAATATAACTTTGTATTGTTTTTATGTTGCCGTGAGCTTGCAAATGAATCGGTAGTTTCTATGGCGATCAACATTCGAATGAGGGCGCTTGTTTAGTGCTGATACAATTCTTTAGGCGGAACACGAATTAAGCTTTGCATTTTAAATTAAATTTTAATGTGTCCGATTTGTAACAGAAGGATAAACGATCCCCGCTCGATTCTTTTGCTGTTGGGCTAATTGTTATTTCATCTCAATTGGTGGCTTATTGGCTTATGACCCTTATTTCTCTTTTTAATTTAAAAGATATTTAGATGGAATTAAAATTCTGATTTCAAAAATATTTTTACTGTTTATAAAATAAATATATAAAAGAACTTGTCTTGATTTAAGACAAAACACTTTAAAAAAAGCATTTTTTATTAAAGTCAAACACCTTATATTTGTCAAACCTGATCAACACCCTCTTTGCCGCACAGTGTCAATGTCATGGCGGAATATGGCATTTACTTGTCCCAGAAAAATGTGGCATTAACCATTAAGGGCTCGTTTGGCATCACGTTTGGGTTTCCAAACATGGTCAAACGAGCTTCTCCACTGAGCTTCTCCACATGAGTTTGTTTGGATCCACATCTACACAATTTGACTTTTAAGCTCTGATGGGCTTCTGGCAGAAGCTCAATACAAGGGCTTTTTTTTGGAGCACGGTGGCGTTGAGGAAAAAAACGGTTACATATTTATTACCAACTTTAAATTTTATTACCAACCTGCTGCATGTTTATTTTCTCTCAGCTCAATCTTAAAGAGAGTTCGGCTTTACACAACACACACAACACATGATCTGAAGCCTCTCTCACGACTGCAAGTCCGTGTTGTTTTTTAGTTATTTGATGTATGGCATCTAATTAATTATTTGATGTATCGTGTGTAAAAATACTATGTTTGTATAATTTCTAATTTATATATTTATCCATTACATATATTTAATTAAGTATTTTATTATTTTTCAATTTCTTTCTAATATAACTTAAAATTTTTTTAAATTATTTAATTTTTAATACTTCATTTAAAATGATCACATTATATATATAATTTCTTTCTAATAATAAATTAAATTTCTTTATTTTTAATAATTTTCTCTTCCTTAATTCTTAAAAAATAGTCAAATTAATGAGATATATATTATTTAATAAAATTCATGTCCTTTTAAGTCATTTTACATGTAAACTTACTTTTACTTTTATCATCCAAACAAGTTTTAACCTCTCAAAGTGACTTTTTTGAAAACCCAATCCAAACATAAATTATATCACCCTATCTGACTTTTATTCAATCTGACTTCTGCAAAAGTCAGATTGAAAAAAAAGTTACTTCTCCACCACTAATCCAAACACACCCTAAGCTATTAAGGAGGCATTTGGGATCACGTTTGGGATCCCAAATGTACGTCCCCACCTCAAAAGCTAAGAAGCAGAGAAAATATTTGTTTGGGTTCATATTTGGCTAATTGAGTTTCTGAGGTTGAAATGGGCTTCTGAGAAAAGTAAACTTTTGGTGCGTTTTGAGGTGGTGTGGGTGGTGAAAGAAACCGTTGGAAAATTTATGGCTGTGTTAAAATTTTTTACCCACCTGACCTTCACCCTTGCATGAATATTCTCTCACCTCAATAATAAAACAAAATCACAAGTTCACAACACACACTCCTCGGTTGAAACACGTCTTGATGAAAGAAGACGAGAGCCCCTGTATGATTTCTAATTTATATATTTATCCATTACGTATATATAATTAAGTATTTTATTATTTTTCAATTTCTTTCTAATAATAAATGAGTTTTTTTATTTTTAGTAATTTCGTTTTCAATATTTCTTTTAAAATTGTCACATTATATATATAATTCCTTTATAACCATAAATTAAATTTTCTTATTTTTAATAATTTTATTTTCATTACTTTTTTTAAAATGACCACATTATACATATAATTTTTTTCTAATAATAAATTAAATTCATTTACTTTTAATAATTTTATTTTCCTTCTTAAAAAATAGTCACATTATATATATCTAATATTAGATATATACTATTTAATAAAATTCATGTCTTTTTAAGTCATTTTACATTCAAACTTACTTTTACATTTATTATTCAAACAAGTTTCAGCTTCTCAAACTGATTTTTTTTCAAAATCCAACCCAAATATAAATTACATTACCCTTCTGACTTTTATCCAATTTGACTTCTGTAAAAGTCAGATTGAAAAAAAAGTTACTTCTTCACCGTTAATCTAAACACACCCTAACATTGTTAGATATATAATCTTGATGACTTTCCTGTCTTTAATCTTGAAAATTGTGGCATGATTTAAGGATATCCTAAAGCAAGCTTTCATTTTGTATGCCTTTTAAAAAAAGGTTTAGCTGTGGCGTTCGAGCTTGTATTTGGTTGATAGTAAGAATGAATAAATTGCCTATTTGTATTTGGGTCAATCTTCTGTACAAGACATACTCCGTGAGTTGTGGCCCATTGATCTTTAGGCGATTCGAGTCTCTTCGTAACCCCAGGATGGCAATCCGAGCGTATATTTCTCTGAACCAATCAGATATCACCATTTGTTGCACAGGTTTGCGCCATTTGCGTATTTCCTTTTTCGCCCTCTCGCTTTTAAATCAATCCCTGAGCGCTGAGCTAGAGCTAGCTCCTAACTGAGAAACCCTCTGACGGAAGCGAAACCCAAAGTTACCTTCAATCTCTGATTGCTAAACCCTAGTTACGAATTTCGAAAGCCGTCTACGCGACAATGAGTTCGGCGGGATCGACCAAAGGTGGAAGGGGTAAGTCCAAATCCTCTAAATCTGTTTCTAGGTCTCAGAAGGCTGGTCTTCAATTTCCCGTTGGTCGCATCGCTCGCTTTCTCAAGGCTGGAAAGTATGCCGAACGTGTTGGTGCCGGTGCTCCCGTGTACCTCTCTGCCGTATTGGAATATCTTGCTGCTGAGGTCAGTCTCCAATTCCTGGTGCGATCTTTCGGCTTTTGTTCTCCCATCAATCTTTGATTGTTCATCTTGTTGCTGCTCTATTGTGTTCTTGAAAATGATAGTGTATTCGCATTAGAAGAGTTACGACTCTTCAATCCACCCAATGTAACTGGGGTTCTGTTTGTTAGTTGTCCTGTGTTGGATTCCTTGAATCCAAGTACTGCTGCTACCCTTCGTTTTTATGGGAAGGATTTCAGAAATTTCATATACGGGGAATCGGGGAGTTAATCTAAAATGATATTCGGTCTTTTTTTTTTAAATCATATTTATGATTGCGAGGGTGGATTCGATTTCCCTGTGATGACTACTGACGTAATTTATGTGGTACTGCTGTAGCATTTATCATAAGTCAGCAGGAAGCAATGTAAACATGACAAGATATGAATTATGATACTAAGCAATCAATTGCCGTCTAGGCATTTCCGGTCTATAGTATAATTTGCTTTGTCTTTGTATGTTTTTGACTGGAAAACTGAGCCTTGTTTGAATGTTCTGGTTATATGGCGTTTCTGTCTAGAGATTATTAATGAAGCCAAGATGGGGAGGCAATGGGAAGGTGTTTTGTTGGTTTGCTAAGTTAGGAACTTGGAACTGTCGTATAGTCTTCTCTAATCCTTTCTTGATATAAGCATATTTTTCAGTCTAATCTATGGGAGCATTTTTTCCCTAACAAACAAACTGATGAATGGTGTAAAGTCATTTATTTGTTTTATGTGTTTTTGTGTTACAGGTTCTTGAGCTTGCTGGTAATGCTGCTAGAGATAACAAGAAGAGTCGCATTGTTCCAAGGCATATTCAGCTTGCTGTACGTAATGATGAGGAGTTAAGTAAGCTCTTAGGATCTGTTACTATTGCCAATGGTGGTGTCTTGCCAAATATTCATCAAACTCTTCTGCCAAAGTCAATGGGTAAGGGAAAAGGCGATATTGGGTCGGCATCCCAAGAATTCTGAGATTCCACCACTCTGGAGTTAGATTTGGAAGATGGAGTTTGTTGCCACCTGATCTATCTGATTACATTTTACATATTCCTATGTGATAAGAACATACACTTCACATAAATTCTTTGCTGCCTTTTCATGCGGAAAACATGAACTTTACGGTGTGGATCACATGTTAGAAAAATATGATATTCAACAACTTAGGCGGTTTTTTAATGAATTGTAATCCATATGATTAGTGGAATGATATGCTACATTTTGGCCCCCGAAGAAGTTTTCACCTTGCTTTTTTAAGTTTTTCGTGTTTTAATAGTGGATTATTGTGTGAAGAGTTATGGTGAATGTATAACTACTATCTGGTTGTTGCAGCGGGAGCAATAAATAATATAGGTTCTCGCTTTGAAAATGTTTGGTCTGTACTTTCTTCTTGCTAACTTTTTCTAAAAGCTAGTGTGCGTCAGGACTGTTCTGGCTTTGTTACTTGGAGTCCCCCAGATTCTGCTAGCTGTTGGGGGCTTTCCATTTTCAGTTAAGTAATTGATTTTCTCAATTCATGGCTTGTGCATGTGTAAAGAAGAGTTGTTACAGCTTAACTGACCATCTGGCGCCACCATGTTATGCTATAATAATTTTCCTAGGAATGAAAATGAAAATAAAAGCCAATATTAAATATAGAAGGATTAAATTTTGTGAATCATAAATACCACTCAACATCAATTTATATATATGTATGTATGTATATATTCAATGTCCATATTTCACACGCTCACGGGGGTATAAGTCTGTTTAAAATACTGTAGATAAATAGTTTTTTGATTAGTAACGTTTTTTGAAAAAAAAAATTTCGTGTGGAAGACAGGAAGAATAAAATGTGGGCTGTAGTAAAAAAATATTGGTGCCAGATCCGGTGCAAAAAATTTGAGATGCAGAATTCATCCCTTCTTGAATAAACTTGTGGATGATCTTTGTGGTTGTTTATTTAGTCTGAAAAAACTATATTGTGAAACCAGTTATATGATCAGGCAAGAGAGAGGGGGAAAAAAAGGGAAACAAGTTCAGTGAAAAGTATATGGTTAGCTGATTTTAGGTTTCAATGCGGGGAGGATCTATATGTGTTGAAAGATCATTGTTCATGCAAAGGCTAACAAGCTCATTTTCCAGGCCAGTAAACTACAAACAGAGAGATAAACATAAACCAGGAAAAAAGAAAACCTGGAGCAACCTGAGTTGATCAACAACGATCATCCACGCCTCCATTGTTTCTCCATGCGGGCTCTTTGGGGAGAAGGCTGGCAGGAGCGAGTGGCAAAGACCGTTTCCTCCATGATGCCCAATTGCCCATACCACAACGCTTCCTTTTACGTCCTCCACGATTCCACACAGCCCTGTCCAATGCACAAATGCTCATGCGGGAAGGATTGCAGCAATTTTGTATAAGATTAAAAAAATATAATTTTTTGTGTTGGCAAACAAAAAAGTGTTTTTTTAGAAGCTACAACATTTTACGTAATGAATCGTAATGTAATGTAATTAGCTTTGATGTTCATGATGATTCCCTGGTGAATTCTTCCCGTTTTTAAGTGGCCACCCTCCTCGCCGTCGCAGCGATTGCTCTGCCGAGTGCCGACGGCAAGCCCTGCATCAACCTACTTTCCACTCCAGTCGGTTCGTCGTCCCTCCTCCGTTGCTCCTCAGTCTCTATTCTCTCTCTCTCTCTCCCGACCCAGTCATCGCCGGCACGGGAGCGGAATTGGGTTGACCGTAGTGGGCATATATTGGATTTGTCATCCAACTGACTAGAAACTGATTGTTTTTGCGCAAAAAAAAAAAAAAAGAGAGAGAGAGACAATCGAAAGAAGAAGCCACGGTTGAGCGGTCCTTTTTTTTTGGACCGAAATAGCATCGTGCTAGATTATACAGATATTACTATATATTTATTTATTGGATTAGTTTATATAAGAATTTAGGGTTTGTCCAAAATTTCCATGCTGTTTCTTGCATTTGTTGGAAATGCATTTTATTGTTACCCTTAATTATTTTGAAGCTCTAATTTTTGTAGCCATGGGATCATTCAAATGCCCCTCTTGGCACACCTCTGAGGCACCGCACCAATCGCGCTGGAGGGGATCTGATTTCTAATAATAATAATTTGTTTGGTATATATACTCACTCCTGATTTTCCCCCCTAAACCCTAAAACCCCTCCCTCACAGCTCGACTGTGCCATGGCGGAACCACATCCCTCAAAGGCATTCCCCGTGAAACCCAAGTTGAAATCGAAACCCAGAACCCCAAAGCAAACCTCTGAATCCAAATACTGGTCCTCCTTCAAGACCCACCAAATCCCCGGCCTTATCTCTGTTCGATCTGTCTCCTTCTCACCCTCTCCTGCTCATCCCTTCGCCGTCGCTCACTCTGCCCACCTATCAATCTACAGCTCCGAAACCCTTTCTACCACCTCCACGATTTCTTTCTTCAAAGATGCTGTTTCCGGCGCCTCCTTCCGCTCCGACGGCCGCCTCATCGCCGCCTCTGAGCTATCCGGTCGTATTCAAGTGTTCGACCTCAATTCTCGAGGCCCACTTCGTCAACTCAAGTCTCACGCTCGCCCCGTTCATTTCGTTCAATTCCCATTGCTTGATAAGTTCCATCTGATCTCCGGTGGGGACGACGCTTTGGTTAAGTACTGGGATGTGGCGCGTCAAACACCGATATCTGAGTTACGGGGTCACAAGGATTATGTGAGGTGTGGTGACTCTTCCCCTGTTAATATGGACACGTTTGTTACTGGTTCTTATGATCATATCGTGAAGCTATGGGATATAAGGGTTACTGATGGGAGGTCAGTGATGGAGGTAAACCATGGGAAGCCGGTGGAGGATGTCATTTTCTTACCGTCAGGGGGTCTAATTGCGACGGCTGGTGGGAATTCTGTGAAGTTGTGGGATTTGTTGGGTGGTGGGAAGCTTTTGTTCTCAGTGGAGAGTCATAACAAGACTGTTACTTCCATTTGTGTGGGGAAAATTGGGACAGATACAGGGGAGGAGTCCAATCAATCTAGGATTTTGAGTGTGGGACTGGATGGGTACATGAAGGCCTTTGATTACGCCAACTTGAGAGTGACCCATTCCATGAGGTTCCCTGCGCCTCTGGTCTCAGTTGCATTTTCACCAGATTGTTCCACACGGGTGATCGGGTCTTCGAATGGGATTATATTTGCTGGGAAGAGGAAGTCAAAGGAAAAAGAGGAGGAGGAGGAAAGTTTATCAAATCTGTTTTGGAGAGTAGCGCCAGTGGAGCAACCAAAGAGGAAAGTATTGAGGCCTTCACACTTCCGATATTTTCAGAGTGGGCAAGGAAGGAAACCATCTGAGGGAGATTATGTGATTGTTAAGCCAAAAAAGACAAAATTGGCAGAGCATGATAAGCTGTTGAAGAAGTTTAGGCACAGGGAAGCTCTGGTATCTGTGTTAAGCGCCAAAAGTCCTGAGAATGTGGTGGCTGTGATGGAGGAGTTGGTAGCTCGGAGGAAATTAGTGACTTGCCTTAATAACTTGGATGTGGGGGAACTGGAATTACTAATCATGTTCTTGCAAAGGTATTGTAGCGTGCCAAGGTATGCAAGTTTGCTATTCAAAGTGGCAAAGAGGGTTATTGAAATGCGGGCTGATGATATCAAGGCTTCTGCCTCCTTGAGGAGTCATATGAGAAATCTCAGGCGATCTATTGAGGAGGAGCTCCGGATACAACGGTCATTGTTAGAAATACAAGGTATAATAACTCCTTTGCTAACTAGTGCTGCAAGAAGGTGAAATTTTTTCTCTGGTGTTTTTGTTGATTCTTCTAGTGCGACTCTGGCGAATTTAGAACTTGCATGAGCATTTTTTTTCCACTTAGGAACGTTTGACTTGTTCTCAATGTTATCAATATATATGGACGCAATGGATTAATGCTTTTGAATCCCCGTTCTATGTGGAATGGTTCTTCTAGAAGAGTACGTGTTTTTTTTTTGGCCTGTAGAATATTGCATATTGCTGGAAGCTTGTTTTCATGAGTTATAATCGTGGGGTAGATGTTCCCACAAGTTCAAGACTTCCTTTTCTTTTCCTTTTTCTCCTTTTTTGGGCCAACGACCAAGCTTAAAGCTTTTACAGCTATTCAAGAACAGCTCGTAATATTATTATAGTATCATCTTGAACTCTAAATCATTCCCAAATCACGCATCCGCACAAATTGGCCTAGCTACTCGCAGGAATAGGAACAAAATCCAAACAAGAGGTCTCACAATGAACCATGATACTGCCTCCGATTTTAATTATAAGAATTAGTTGGCTAATTTAAAAAAATTAAAAAAATAAGTTAAATTAGTTATTTGTAATAAATATATGTTGTCTTTTCTAAAATATTTTTACTAATCAAATGTATTGGTTAGAACTACTATTGTTAAAAAAGTATTTTGAGAAAAAAATATATAAATATAAAAAACAAAGTGAATTAAGATCTTATAATTAGGAGTAAAACTCAAATAAGGTTATATGTTAATGACCAAAAGTAGTATTTTAGTTTAAAGTGAAATTCAATTTCGCCCGTAGCCGTTGCCTTATGTCCTCTAATTTGCTTTTCACGCTTTAATTTAAAAAACAACTGATTTCCGAATGCATATTTTGTGTTAGAAACTAAATAGATTTCAATTCTGAAAGTTGCAAAAGTCCTTTTTCAATAAAGTACCGGTTATTCGCTAAATAGCACCGCAAGAAAAGAGAGAATTTTTTAATAAATTCAATTTAAAAAAAAGAAAAAATGGGAAAAAAAGACCACCAAAATAAAAAAAATTGTACACAAAAACCTCATCATAAAATTTCCTTCTTTATATCTGCTCTATTTTAACAGTCTTTTTTAACTATTATTTCCTAAATAAATAAAAATTTAAATTTTCCGTAAAGATTTAAAATAAAAATATTAAAAATTAATTATAATTTTACTTTTTCAATTTTTTAAAATTTACTTATTAAATTTTTTCCTCCACTCTTCTCGCGCCAATCATAGGATTAATCCGCAGCGCATGAATCCCTTGCCCGCAGTGGGGGTGCTCGGTAAAGAGACAGATGTTCTCGAAAATGGTCTTCGATGTGTTTGGATGAAATCAAACCGTGGTTTAGAAAAATGATTCTGAAGAATAGATTTTGTAAAGAATATATTCTAGAGTGATTTTGAAAAATGAGAGTGTTTGAATAGTTGTTATCAGAAGCACTTTTTATATACACAAATTACTAAAAAAAAGACATAAGTTAATATGATAATTACAGAAAAATAGATTTTATAATATATTTTAATTTGAAGGAATAAAATTGTTAATAATATATTTTTTACCAACATAATTAATAATACATAAGATAATATAATTAATAAATAATTAATATGTATATATATTTATAAAATATAAGATTAAATATGTTTATAAAAAAAATAAACAAAAAAAAAAAATACATATCTTATAGGCTCTCACACTCTCTCTTTTTTCTCCAAAAACAAAAAATTTATTTCCCAGAAAAAAATAAACAATAAACAAGGAAGGGGGCAAAATAAGAGATATTAGGATATATGGACATAACATACAACCAATTATAATGCGCCCAATATGTACCCATGGACTGCAACACTAGCTAGATGCCCCTGCACAATGTAAGACAATAGTCACATGAAAACATTGCATCAGCCAAAGCGGGGGAGCATCAAGTTCAAGACATTTAAATGCAACATAACAAAAAGAATCCTAGCAGAATGTTGTAATCTTAACCAAATGATTAAATTGCTAAAATTCTAACAAAATAAAACAAAACATAATTTCTATGAAATAAACTAAATTGCGCAGAAGTTTTGAAACGTGCAAGTAATCCATCAACATCCAAAACTCAACAAGAAAGACTTCTGAATTTGTGCACATAGTTAGGCCGAGAACAATTTGTGCAAATAATCCCTTATCTTAATTAGTCCGTTAATTCATTGTGAGAGCGTGATATACTATTAACCACACCCCATTGAAATTTTATTCTGCGCAAATGATCCCATAAATTTTGTTTTGCATGTAGATCACCCGCTAAATTAGGTCATGTGCAAATACATTACTTTTCATGTTGAATTTTATTAGTAAAAGACTGGACAAATTAACAAAGGAGCTACATACATTGAAATTTTAGTCAGATTCGTTATCTCATTTTGATGGTTAGAAGTATTACATGCACATAACCTGGAGTTTAGATAATTATGTACTCCTCTGATCCTAAATGTAACATTCATTTTATCATGTAATTTACATTACAAAATAGGTATTTCATTTAGGACTAGAAGAGTACAATTGAGCAACCCGCCACGTATACAAGCAACTAAGCAAGGGCCAACAATGCAAAAAATATAAAAGCAAAATTTCATAATAATATAATGGAGGCTTTTGGTTTTGTATTTATATGACCTAATGATTTTTACTTAATTTACAAATAATTAGTATTTCTTTTCTTAATATATACTTTCACCCTCCATTATTTTAAGTCTAGGACTAAATGTTACAAAAATGTCACCAAAAGTTACCAAAAAAATACCGACCCTTCTGATCTGATCGCTCCAAGAAAACTAACGCACGCATAACGACCACAAAAGTGACCCTATTTAAAAACTTCAAAAAGCAAAAAATTTAAATAACACTATAAACTGCCTCGACATTTTTTTTTTTGGGGGGAAAAAACGACTTGAAGGCATCCAAACTTAAGTTTTAATGCGCAGTACGGTTATTTTTATTCCAACTGGGCAATACAGGAAAACGTTGAGCATTTCATACCTGATGTTCTAGAAGCAGATATATTATCTGTAGCTTTACTAGAACTACCAGTTCTAGTCTGGCCTTTGTTTTCTTCCCTGGAAGCTCCCAATGACCTCAACTTCGATGATGCTCTAATTGACTGTATCAAAGGAGCATCTTCATCCTCCTCCTCTTGCTTCCCTTCATCTTGTTCAGATGCACTAATTGATTCTTCATCATCACTTGAACTGTGTTCTTCAAAAAGTTTCTTTCCTGTCATGTTAGGCCTCTTACGTGGCCGACCCCTGCGCCTTACAGGAGTCCCTTCTTTCTCATCTGTGGACAACAGTTTTGTTAGTGCTGTCATGACATTCACGCTCTCTATTCAAAGTCGTATGATATGTTTATCAGCAGAAAAGCCGTGAATGCAGACATAATTGCTGCCACCGAGTTCACCCAAATTTCGAGAATATAAACCCAACAAAATGCTACTATTTAACGAAAGAAGCATTTGAAAGTACAGTGAACGAGAATGGTGCTAGAATTTTTTTTTCTTTTTTAAAACTACATACCTTGAAATCCCTCATTCTTTGCATACTTTTCACGTAAGCAATCAATAAATATGTTGTAGGGGCGCCAGCCACTGGGATCCTCATCAGTATTAACATTTTCTGTACGTCTTTGAACATCCTTCATGCTATTCATAGAAGGACGCAACAAAAGGAGTCATATTTCAGGTATAGGCTACAGGGATTCTAAAATCCACTATAAGAAGCAAAATCTTACACATCTAGCACATCTGATGCAGGGAGTTTTGCCACAAAGGGAAGTACCCCAACTTCCAAAAAAGCCAACTGTTTTGGGGCATCTACAAAAGCATAATCAACACCATCCCTTACAATTTTGAGAATGTCTGACCTGTGCTTGTTTCTTGCAGCTCCAACAAATGTTCCTGAAGCTGAGCAGCCAAATCCTTGCACCCGGAGAAAGATTTGCTATCTGAAGCAATCTTCTCATTTCTAGAGAGCTCCAAGACATGCCTTTGGTAGGCCTAGCACCAAAAAAGCATTAGTACAGTAGTTAGAAACAGAAAAGGGAAAACATAACCTGGTGATCTTGGAGTAAAAGACAGGCCCTCATTCACTGAGAAATATTACCTACATGAGGTAATTCAAATGCACAAGTCCAACAGGTTCTATTCAGGATCAAAATAACCACACTATTTGTACTTTTTTCTTTCCTAAACATAATCTTCTTCCAAATCAAAATCAAAAGGAATGCATAAAAACCGCTCAACAGGTTTATTCCATTGCTGAGTAAAGAAAGGCGGAAGTTTATATTCTCTTTCAACCTCATCATCGTGCAAAATAATCTGTAAGGCTCAAAGAAGCCTTACATTGACAATATAGACGGAGAAATGAAGCAGAACATGAAGGCACACTGGAATTTGCCCATTCAGTGTAGAATAAGAGCACAAATAAAAGGAAAATGGGAAGAGCCATAAAATAATGGGAAAATCATCTGCCGGACATAGGGAAGAAAGAGGAGTAACAGAGATCCTAACAGAATTTAACGAGTTTTCAAGAAAAATGTACAGCATCCAAGGAAAATCAATTAATCACTTTCTTTGTCACAAGTCCGACCTTTTTAAGTGCTTCCAGAAAAATGCCTGCCAGGTCATCATCTTTTTTCTTCAGAACAGTGATCAGATGCTTTACAATCTCAGCCACACTTGTCCCATGCATTACATAATGAGAAACAATCTCTGAAGCAAGATACTCCTGCAATAGAAATAGCCAAACTAGCAAAGAAATTATATCCCTTCCAGCACTCCTCGCATCTCAACATGTTTCTGCTAACTAGAACTCACTGTCATAAATTTAAAGCGGGAAAATCACCTTTGGAACAACATCATTGGCAATCAACTTTGCAGCAGCAATCATAACAGCATCTCTATTTGTCTCCTCAACATACTCCCTGTTCATGTCTTCATCTTCTGTCTCATCTGAGAACCAGTATGAAAAAAAAATGAATTCCAAGCATTAGTGGCCAGATAATCACACAGGAGATTCGTGTACCCTTACTCACCAAGAAAAGTTAGTTATTATTACTATTTAACTCTTGATAACTCGGAATAACAAGTTCATAATCATAAAGACAGCAGACTCATGACATTTATCAAAATATAATTCAATCTGCTTGAGAAACAGATGGTTCTTTGCATTATTAGCAAACCATCTTGCTGGTGGGAACTTGGAGTAACCTGAACTATTGAGCTGCTGTTGACACAGTTCCCAGAACTTCCGAAGAACATCTGCACCTGGTTGATATCCTAATCTTTCCAGCTTTGTCTTGGCAAAATTCTCCCTTCTAAATAAGAACCATGTTTCTGCAAGTACACAGCATACCTTTGGCAAAAACACATTTTATCAGGACAAATCTGGGGTCATGTCATACAATATATCGATGCTTGAGGTAGATAAAGGAAAAGAAACTAAGACCAAAATCCTCTTACCCTGCAAGTTAGTTCACTTGCATGTTTATTCCCTTCCTTGTAGTCAGTAGCTGAGTTAAGAAAGTAGCCAAGTTCGTCCAACAAAGTATTGCGCCTAGAGAGAAGAGAAGATAAAGATGCTTCTGAAACGGTTTCTTTGCTTATGATAGAATGCAGACCCCAAGCTAGGTGCATATACATGTTCAGAAGCAGGAAACCAACAACCTGGAAATATAACTAGCAATAGAATCATCAAACACAGAATGGCATGCAAAACAGAGTGGCCAACTCAAGAAATCATTTACACACCTCATCCTCCAGATTTCTGAAGTTTCGAAGTACCATGAGAATGTCTTCATACAGACTTTCAAAAGGCACGGATCTCGATAGTTGGAGTTCATACAACCTCTTCAAGTTTACAAGAAGAGAGTATTCATCACCGCCATCCTGCAATCAGCATATGTTTGATTTCTCCAATCTCAGTATGTGTTTCATTTCTCCAATGAGACTCAAAAAAATTTTTTTAAAAAAAAAAAGGCAGTCCGTCGAAACATACCACAACTTCTTTAATAGCAGACCTAAGTTTGGCAATCAGTTCATCCTCAAGTTCCTTCAACTTATTACGGGCAAAATCTTGCAGTTCCCCTAGACTTTCAGATGAACAAAAATTAATTGCCTTCACACAAGATCTCAATGGCTCCTTGTCACCATGTTTAAAAAATGCTTCTTCCACAAGCTGAAGGACATTTTTGAAGTTCTGGAAAAAAAAAAAAAGGAAGAAGAACTAATCAGTGTCTCGGAAACAATGTGAACGATCTAAAAATTGCCAGCAGCAACAGTTAATCCACCTGTTCCTGTCTCTTCAGGGAATAAAGCTCAAGGTTCATATGCAAAACAATCTCAATGAGTGACGGCACTTTTGCTTTATCTGAAATGAACTTCTGCAAGAGCAGTGGATAACTCTTCATCATGGCAACAGTTAAATCTCGTCTACTATTTTCAAATAATTCCTGTCATTTGTTAGAGGGAAAGAGATTAGCCTCAGGAAAAACACATGAACAGGAAGAACACATTACTCTCAGAAATGTTACTAGTGAAGTAACAAGTAAACAAAACTGGCTCACAATACGACCAACCTACAAATGCTTTAAGAAAGCAGATATTTCTACTTTGCAAATAAATATAAAAAGACCACATACTTTCCTTTGAAAGCCCAAATATTCTTAAAATATTTAGGATCAAATATTAAAAATTCCCCCCAAAAAATTAAGAATTGGAACTCAAGGAGGCACAAACTTTTTGGGCTTTGTTATAATAGGGCTTTCTATTATCAGTAGCAGGAACAATCCTCTCTCCAACAGCCTTTTTAACAGATGCACAGAGGAGTCGCACTAGATTTGTTGCATCACCATCAGTGAGCTCCATTGAGGGATTTTCATCTAGGAGCATAGATATAATGCACTTCCAATCCTGAAAGAAAAAGATCACACATGATCAGGCAACTGCCAAACATTACTTAGAAATCAATACGAAAAAGTAATATATCCTGGATGGAAAATTTTTTCTGGGAGCTGTCCGCACAGTCTGCCAACTACAACAAGGTATAAAACCAATTCAAGTGGAGAGATAGAATATAATATGTGAAAATGGAAGAGTAAGAACATATTTGAATCTATAGACCCAGAAATCTGCTTCACTTGTATCAGGAAAGAACAGTAGCCTTCAGTTTATACATCAACCTTGTTACGTAGAAAAGTGATTATTCTTGTAATGATTGCATTACTGTGGACAAAATTATTAGGCATAGCATCAAAATATCCAGGTTCCTCGTGAAATCCAACCCAACTGTTTAAATGCATCATAAGCCATCAACATTCCTGACCAGTCCCTAACCATGTTTGAGCAGACCCAGCTTGGAAAGATCGGCTAGGTTACTGAAAATTACATTTCAGAATCAGCATGTATGCTAAAATTAAAAAACTATTTCGATGTCTCCATTGTCCGTTAAATCTGGCTTTCCAAATTTATTAAATTCAAAAAAAAAAAAAAAGGAAAGAAGGAAAAGTAAACATGGGAATATTGGTGCCTCTTCCTCATATAACATAGTTAGGACTTACAAGGTAAAGGAATAGGTCATGGGGTTTAACACACCCTTGGGCATTCGGCTTATAATTTGAAATAAAACTAAGGGTTCAAAAAATTTTCAATGAATTTTCAAATGAAATAAATTTTCATGCTACTGAGTTCAAATTGACATATAACTAAGTGTACTTAGTAGATAAGTAAATGGGAAATAAAAAGAGAGGGGAAAAAAAGAGAGAGAATTAGCGTATCCAAAGTCAATACAGCCATTTGTTACAACATCTTGCCAATATATCCGAATTTGGACATCCTTCCTAATTTCCTTCCTATCCTTCAGGCAACACTCTAGTTCTAGAAAACTTAAATCCAGAGATACATGCACAGACAGCCACCAAAAAAAAAATGTCTTGATTAAGAAAGAAAAGCTACCATTTTTGTCACACAAGGAAAGTAATGTTCAGATGGATAATATAGGGATACCTTTATAGCCTTCATATATTCCCAAACATCGTCAATGACATAAATGCTCAAGATAGGATCTTGGGGGAATTCTTCCAGAATTCGTAACATTCTTTTAAGATGGACCTCAGAAGAACTGCCACTTTCACCTAGACAAAATATTATCCGGATCACATGCCTGCCATAGTCAAGATAAAGATATCCAGCTTAAAGTGAAAACGCTTGTGAACAGCCTTGTGATCTTTCATACCTGATTGGGAGCTATTAAATTTTTGCGCAATTAAGTGATCGTACACTAACGCTCCAATAGCATGCCTGATTTCTGGGGGATCATCAATCAACAAATCATACAAAGGAGCCAAGTCATCTTCAGGCAGAAGTTGATGCCTGCAAGGTACCAAGAAGCCAAATCTCAATATACAATATGTTACATAACAATTCACTAGTGAACAAGAAGTATATAACCTGAAAACTTTTTCAAAGCAGACCTTAAAAGTTGTTTAACAAGTCCTATGGCACAAACAGCCACAGAAACGTCTATGTCATCAGCAAGCTCAATCATCCTGCCTGAAAATCTTTCAGTAAATAAACCAAGGGTTGGCACATTATCATCCACCTCATAAAGATTTTGAAGTGCAGTTATAGAAGCCTTTCTTACTCCCGCATTCTACATAACAGATAATGAGAGAAAATGGTAAAACATCCACACAAAAAAAAAAAAGAGGCAAATAACTTGTGAATTGTGATATATGAGAAATTATAAATTCCCACGATCATCAATTTAGAACTTGCTCATTACTTTGTCATTCAACGTCCATCCAAGATACTTCAAGTACAAATCTTGTAAGAACAGTGATGGGTAAGATAGAATCCATACACCCAGTGACTCTATGCAAGAAATTCTAATAGTTGGGTCAATGTCCCTGTAGCGATGCACAAACAAACTGCAAAAGAACATTATATGAATGTATTAGCAACACTGATCAACAAACATGCTATAGTTTATTTTCCTTTAAATTTAATTTGTTTCTTCAATTCAGCAAATTCATACCCGGTAAATATTTTACGCATCATCTCTTCCAACATAGTTATTTTCTCATGTGTAGTCGAAAATCTTTTATTTAGAGATTCTACCCGAGGCCCCTCAGCTCTTTTCTTTTTTTCAGCATCCAGCTGCCTGCGAGTAGTCTCTCTCTGCGCACCAAGCATTTTAGCAACAGTTATGTATGATGTAACAAGTTGAAGACCCATCAACGAAGCAACTTGACGATAAACTCTTGGAGGGGTGCTGCATATGTACAGAGGCATATAAGTAATAGTATATGTTTCAGAAAATTTAAAAAGCTTTAACAATCATATACTAACCATGACAGTGCAATAATATAGTCCATGCATTTGTCAAACAAAACCTGATCAAACAATGGTCCATGTTGGCATTCACGGACCAAAGTATCCCAGAATGATTCAAGATTCTCTTTGAAGTTCTTAACTTCCTTCTTTTTCGAATTTTGATAATCTTCAATTTCACCCTAGAATTTCACAAGAATTAAAACATGAGCTTCAGGGTCTGAATTTAAAATAGTATGAGGACGAGTATGCAAGAATGAGCACAAGTAATCAGTACATACCTTTTTAGCACAGTTGACAAGAGCAACCACAACATCATCTACATCAGTCTCATCCAGAAGATCTCCTTTGTTATAATACTTGGCACCACATGCCTAAAAAAATTTGGATCATTCCATCAATCTGAAATAACTTCTAAAATAAAACATAAGTATTCTTTATTTGAGAATTGAAGCGCCAAATTTTCGAAGTTTCTTTGGATTTGTTTCATATGTCTACGTCTAAAACATCTCTAAACAAGCAAATACTAAATAAATTTTTAATTACCTCAAACAGCATTGTCAAGAGTTCAACCATTGCAGGTTTAGGATCCTTTTCATAGCGTTCAACCCAATTTTTTACAACATGGGGAATGAGCTTGCCATGTCCCTTGACAACCTCTGCAAAAATCATACAAGAAAATTAACCTCAGCCTTGACCCAGTTATGACAAAAAGGCAACTCCAAAGCTGATCAAAAGTCACTCTAAGGAAAAGAGGCTTCATTCAGGGATTGAGTTACAAAATTATCCACTCTTAATATAAATCCCCACAAATCATGGTGCAGTTCACCTCAAATGTTGTTAATGCACAGAAAATTTCATAACCCGAACTGATGCATTCCATTTACATGAGTCTGAAGGACCCATTCATAAGGTATGAGAAAGAATACCGGGCTTCGGCCATTTGACCCCACAAGCTATACCCTAAGTAACAAAGATATGCCTAATTCCAAGTGTAAAGAAGGATATGGGAAGTAAACCCACAACTTAAACACTCACGAGTCAGTCAGAGAAATGGCCAAAAGGATCGAAATGAAAGTGATATGAACAGAAAAGTATAAGCTGCCAGGCCCACTACATTGTTGGTCTAATAGTAACTTGCCACAAAGCCGCATCTAAATTATACGGCGTCTCCAACAATATAAATCTGATCAACACGGATGAATAATCTTTAATATGAAAGCCTCAAGTGTGTACCAATCAAGCTCTGATCACTGGTTTTGTGCGCCATCCCAGAAGCTCCATTTGTGGGACGACCTCGCTTAGCTTTTGGACGAATTTCATCGAAATCATCAGGAGAACTCTCCCTGTCCACTTGCTCGCTAGTATCGCTGATCTTGGCACGGTGATCGCCATCCCCGTCCTTTTCCACGTGGAGTTGCTTCCCAGTGTGTTGACCCTGAGCTCTACTCCTCTTCTGCATAATTCGAACAGCGGAAAACCAAATTACAACCAGCACGAGTATGTAAAGAGAGAGAGGGACAGAGATGAAAATGAAAACTCACGGTACGGCGAGGTGATGCTTCAGAGGGTGCAGCTGAACCTTCCATGACCTAATCTTTTGGAAACGGGGAATTTAGCGGAAATTTCACAGGCACGCTGAGAGCGAGTATTCAGAGACAGTCTTTTTCAAAAGGCATGCTTGCCCTAATCCCAGGATTTTTGCAGAACACGAACAAACAGGGACAGGCAGAATGTTTAACGCTTGCGAGCCAATACTCCAAAAAGAAGTCTCCCGCCAAATAGTTATATTTACCATTAGCCCATTTTTTCCCCAGGCAGGGAAAATCATATTCATATGTACAATTACAAGTTGTTGATTGCTGTATCAAACTCGTAAATTTAAGCAAATTTGTGATGGGAATGTAAACTTGGATCGCCAATTAGGATTGTAAACTCATAAGAATTTACTTTTATTAATAAATTAATATTAACAGTATATAATTAAATAATTAAAAAATAAAAATGACAATAATTTTATTAAAATATATTTTAAATTTAAATAATTGAAATTAAATTCATTAACATTCATAATTTACCATGCTTAACAAATAAATTTTTATGAAATTCATATACAAAATTACTAAACATAATTAAATTAAAAAATTTAACATGACTTTAAAAGCCAGTTAACATGATTTTGTAAACTACAAATGTAAAAACAGTAAACTCACAAATTCAATTGAGTTTACAGCTTGCATGAATTCAAGAGTGAATCAACATGTTTTTGCAAGCTAAAAACGTAAAAATATTAAATTTGGAAAGTCAACTAGTGAATTTAATAATAAAACTATAGATAGCTTTTTATTTTTATTTTTTTTACCAAATTGTTGTTGATAACTAGTATTAACTAATAACAATATCATAATTGTGATCTATAACTAACATTAACTAATAACAACCTTATCTTTCAAGAGAATAGCATGCGTTTGAATTTCTGCCACAAAATGACTAATTATATTACTCATGACGACATCATAATTATGATAGATGACTAGTACTACTTCCCGTCCTTAATATAAAATATCATTTGACTTGTATTTTTATCTTAAATATAAGATTTCAATTCACTTTATTTTTCATATTTATTTATTTATTTTAATAGAGTCATTCTATAATGGTAGTTCTAGTTAATAAACTTAATTAGCTAAAAGTAGTGTTAATATTTTTTCCCTAAAAAATTGGAAGTCGGCATTGACCGAAACCCAAGATAATAGTGATATCATTTGGTAAAATAATTAATTACATAAAAACAATCAGACAATATATAGTTATTTTATTTCAAATCATATAATGGTCTTTATTTTTAATAGCAAAAACATAAATTAAAGAAATATGTATTTTTTTACACCAAAAAGAAATATGTATTATTGACTAATGAATATTATGTTATATTAAAAATTTTATAATTTATATGGCTATAGATGTATAAAATAGGTGAGAATGGAAGATCCGCTATTGGCTCAAGCATAATTCTTCCAGAATCTGAGAAACAAAGAACTTCATGAAACGACAACGTCATGCATTTCTCGAAGGAATGGAACTTCTATTGCCTGTAACTGGCTTACTGGTATAAATGCAACTCTATCATTCCACGATGACAAAATGGCGCACTAAAATACTTCATAACTTTTCCAATTAGGAAGACTCACGAGAAATAATTATATAAAAAGTAAAAACATGGTTAAATTGCTGTTGCAGTTAGAGTATTGTCACGCTTTAGTGAGGATAAATCAAAATAGTCGTCTCCACTTGGTTTCGAACTCCAAAAGTCCCAAACAAACGAATCAGAATAAGAATTCACTTTTCCAGTGAAGAGAAATTCAAAGCTTTCAGCAGCATTTATAGATTAAATGAACCAATGTACAAGTAACCAGGCATACAAGCATTGTATAACTCAAAGCAGTCACAAGGCAGGAAGGGGCTCGGAAGCTATAAATAGCATTGTAAAGAAAATCACATAACAGCGGAGGACCTTAAACCTAAATGCATTAGAAGCTCATGGTACATCTGGTTTGCTGCACACAACATCAAGCAGTATTGGCCATGGACTCAATCAGGATCTGGTAACCTTCTGGTACAGCACTCTGTGTCTGCACGCATTCCATCAATGCCGGTACATCAGCAGCCACGTCTAAAACCCTTGCTAGGACGAGGAGAAGATGAAAATCAGATATTCTCTTTACAAATGGAAGATTTTTTGTGCGCTCAAGATGATTCTTCAGTGCCTTCATTGTAACTTGAGTGTTCCGGTTCTCAATGGGAAATATGGATGAAAGTGGACCCTGCATTGAGGAAACATCACGCATTAATAAGTGCAAATTGGGAAGAAGCTATGTTAGAAGGATAAAGTATAACTCTGGCCTATATGACACAGCAAGAAGTAGAAGCTGCAGCAACGTTAGATTGACATTCAGTACACAATTATTTACTCAGTACACCAAATTCCCAGGTTAATACATCATTCAATCAAAACCATACTATTCTCAGATCAAGTTATCAACAGCTCTCTCATTGACTTTTTTAAAGCCAGAATAAGTGACATGTTTCTCTGTTTGAGTTCGCCTTAAAAAAAAAGACGAAGAAGAAAAATCTTTCCAGATTTTGCATTGTTAATCCATTGATCACAAAATGTTTTCCTACAAGCCACAATCATTCCATGTGGCTCAGGCGGTCTAGAAGTAGAGGATTAGCCTCCTATTAAACGGCCAATCAAGGCACTAACTTAAATGCCGCCCAAAAGAGCATATGCACTCACGGAAAAATTTCTTTATCAAAACAAAAGAAGAAAAGTAAACGGTAAGAGTATAATACATCCTTTTATACTGTATAATTGAGGGCAAAAAAATAAAAGAGCCTGGCAAAACATGAAAAGAGAAGAATCGAGCATTTGAACAAGTTACCTATTCTCTCTGTAAAGTCCAAAGAGACACGCCTCTTTAAAGATGCCATCATATGAAAACCATAAGCAACTATATAATAACTAGATTTAACTTAGGTTAGACACAACATTGGTTCATATCCCATGTCCATTTTCTTTCTTCTTTTTTTTGGAAGGGGGGCCAATCAACCATATTTTCCCTTAATAAGAGTAACAAACCAGTGGTGCACTTTTTTTCAATACATTGGTCAGGGGATTCGCTATGTTGTTTCAAACAGAAAAAGGCCATGAATTCAGCAATAGACCTGGCAACAAATCAAGCTAATGCTGCTCTAAGGGAATACCAAAACAAGGATCAGTTTCTCAGACCAGACCAATTATTCTACGGAGCAAGTCCCTACTGTGACTTATAGCAGCTAAATCTCAAATATGGATTCAAGACCCAACCCTCCAATTGTCTCGTTCATGCCATTAAAAGATCGCTTAATGCATTCACCTGATTGGTTTAACGTTAAAGACTATATATATTAATGAACTATGGAAGCCTGTTTACACTTTATAACTCTCAGCACCACAACTTCATGGACCTCACGAGTTCAACGCTGAAGAACCTGAGCCTCAATCAAATAATCATCAGCTTCACTATGAATAATTGAAAAAAACTTACGATAGCACCACCAGGTAAGCTTGCTACAGCATTCATCTCATAACTACATAGGTACAGGTCAGAGCCATATGCGCAATCATTTTCTACAAACTGAACTCGATGAGTACCGTCACTCCAAGATACTGTCAGGTGCATGATTAGATTTACATATTTCACGCCAAAACAAGTTTAGTTAACACATAGGAAAAAATTATTTTTATTCACCTAATAACCTAAAAAATTCGACCCTAGGGGCCTAATATAAGAAATACAACAACTAGAGATGTTTCATGATCCATTCCCATTGATAACAGATAATGAAACAATGCAAGATTGAATCACATACCTGATGATCAAAGATCTTTACCACCACCAAAAAGAAGTCATTATCAACCTCTCTAGTATCTTTAACTCCAACAACTACATCTTTCTTCATCTTTGACAACTTGGGATCGTCATCGTTACCAATTTCTGTTTCAAACCATCCTTCTTTGAACAATTTAATGCACGTATCACTCATCTGAAAAGCTTCAAAGTGAACATCCGCACCAGCATCCTCATTCACCTCCAGCTTCACTACAGCTGTCACCCACTCATTCAACCCACTCTCCGCGTGTAACTCCGCAGCCTGAAGAACCTCCCTGTTTGACAAAGTATAATCTTTTTTATCCTGACTGATGGTCTGTGTGAATATAAACCCAACTTTCCTCATCCCCAACCCTACCGCAATAGCTTCCACTAACTTCTCCTCATCGGGGTCCCTGGATAACAATAAATTATCTTCCGAACCTTGCTGGGGTGGCTCGTATATGAAATTCACCTCAACCTTGCCCACCTCCGAGACGGTACCGTACATGAATCCCCCTCTTTTCACCGCGAAAGCGAGGGTCTCATTCACATAATGCTGGAACGCGTTGGCACAATCCCGATCGAAGGAAACCAACTCGCAATGCGGGTTTTCCTGTCGGCTAACTCGCATTTGTTTGGCGATTAGATCATCCATGGTCATCTTGCGGCCGAAGGAGCCGGCAGGGCTGAACGCTGGCCCAGCAACCCTACGTTCTCCCTCGTAGGCCAGAAATACGATAGACCCGTGAGAGAGATTGAGAGCAGAAAGAGGGGTATTGGGGTTAGACATATCAGTAAATCGGAGAAGATCTTCATGAGTTTTAGCAAGCAGGAGGTTTTGGTTGGTTGAGAGAGTTTGATTGTGTATGGGAATTTGAAGCTGGGATTGAATTAAAGACTGGAGTTGGGCCACTGTGATATGCGGGTTATCAACAGAAACTCGCTCCAGACCATCGCGACTTCGAATTCTGAGCATCATGGTGAAGAATTTGGGATTGTTAGAAGACCTTGGCCTTCACCGGGAAACTTGTGGAGGTGGGATCGAGCAGTAAAAAGGTTTATATAGATTAAGGAGTTGTAGAAGAAAGAGTATTTGAGTTGGAGTAGAATTTAAGTAGGTGAAGGTGAAGGATTCGGTTCTGGAATAGCGAAATCCTTGTTCGAGTGGGAAAGCTAAGCGAAAAGAAAAGAACTCTCGCCCATCAGGAATAGGATACCAAAGAAGAAGAGGAGAATTGGAATTTAAAGGACAGTCACAGGCGACGAGCATTGCCTCGGCTTTTAAATGGAAAGTAATTGCAGTTCTCAATTTTACCAAATTTTATCAAATTTTAAATTTCATCGTAATCTTGCTATAAAAAAAAATCAAATTCATCATAGTCTTTCCAACTTCTGAGATAAGATATGGTAACTAATATCCTAATTCTTGCCCCGTTGAATAAATAAACAAAAATTAATAATCTTACAAATTTAAAAGTTATCTCATTGGTATTATTGCGGATTAATTAATTTAGTAATTATGATAAAACATTTTAGATACATTAAATAAATAATTATGATGGTAAAAATTTTTGTTATTGAACATATAAAAAGTCACAACTTTGAAAAAAGTTATTTTAAATTATATAAATGGAATTTTATAACAATACTTTAAATAGACTCGGCCACTTGGAAAATTTAAGCCAGTGTGTAAAAGATAGGAAGTAAATATTTAAGTTTTTCATAATTAAAATATCATTAATAATTAAGAATAAATATTCACAACATAAAAAAATAAAAAAAAATTTATCTCAAGGTTTAAAATATTTATTTTAAGATTATAATTTTAACCGCTCTGTTGAGGTATTTTAATAAATAAAACTTATTTTTTGAAAAATTTTAATTTCTAATTTGTTAAATAAAAACATTTTTCACGTTGTAAGGATTAATTTCAAGCCTTGAAGGTAATTTCATTATAATGATAAGCTTAATCAAGACATATAATAGTACTAATTGGCGTGGTTTTTGAATATGTGAATTATCATCTTTCCTTCTTTTTTTTTTTTTGCCAAGTTTCATCATCTTTCGTTAAATAATGTAAAAATATTACAAATTATGATATTTTAAATTTTTTTTGACCAGCTGATATTTTTAATTACTGTGTTATGCAAGTTAAGGAATTAATACGAGACTTGATGAAATTAGATAACGATATCGATCTGAGATTTTATATTTTGTTTTATTTAGCTTGATCGCAAAATTTATTATAATTATTATAAATTGAGTCTGCATTTATTAGGTTTTCTATTCTTTTTTGTAGCAGTCATATTTTCTTATTTTTACTGCATTAAAAAATAAACACCCACATTTTATCGGAAAAAACTGAACATCAACAAATACTTAGGAAAAATTAATCGCAGGTCCCTATGTTTTATTGAATTTTTAATTAGTTTTTTATAATCCTTTAGTCAGATTTTTATAATTTTTTTATCAGGTTCATATGATTTTGCTTGGTTTTTAATCAGTTCAGGGTTTTTTTTCCTTTTTATCAACTGAACCTCTTGTAGTTTTATTTGAATTTCAATAAGATTTCTGCAGTGTTTTGCTCTTGATCAACGAACTAAAACTACAAAAATCTAATTAAAAATCAAATGAAGTCATGAGAATCTAATATAAAGAAAGAATAAAGAGCTAATTAAAAATTGATAAAACTATAAACACACGGTAACAAGAAAGAAAGTTCAAGATCTAGCTTGATTAAAAGTAAAAAATGAGAATAGATTGATTTTAGCTAATTTTAATTAATTATTTTAATTTATGTAAAATTTTTAATATATATTTATAAATACTCTCTTTCATTTTGGTAGGTACAGATATTTTTTTGTTGGAGGTAATTATATTCGAAGCACTATTTGGTACTAAATATGTACACCTCTCTCAGTGGAGATTTGAACATTAATTCATCACATTGTATTATAAATACTCTCTCTCATTCATAGTATAACAAGATTTCCAAAAAAAAATTTAATCTAAAATATAAGAAATTGACGGGGTAATTAATGATAATTTTTTACTTTTATCTTTTGCAACTCTGTTATAAGGAAAATAAAGGGTTTTAAATGTAAGAGAGGTTTTTTCAATTCTTTACTAAGAATAAAATATTTGGATTTTATCAATTTAAAACACATTTAATTATTTAATTAATATTTAATACAAGAATGCTTTTAATAGGAGAAAATTTGTGACTATAGAGAAAAATATTTATTAGTTGAAGCTCAACAAACATGTTATACTACTTCTGATCATTAATATACAAGAGCTAGTTTAACTTCTAATTTGGTCTTAAATATAAGACCATAATCCACTTTGTCTTCAATATTTATCTATTTTACCCTTAAGTAATTCCTATAGTAGTTGCATATATTAAGGATTTAGTATCAATATTTAATTCAAACATATATGATTAATAAGAGTATTTAAGAAAAGATAATATCTATTTACTTTAAATAACTAATTTATTTAATTTATTTAATTTTATTAAGTTAGTTAATTAAGTTTTATATTAAAAACCAAGAATTATGAAGCAGTAAATGAAATACTACTTTATTTCAGTCTGTAATTCTGTTTCTTCTGGTGACATTGCAGTCTGTAATTCAGTGAAAGTGAATGGCATCAGTGTTGGGATATCATTAGTGCATAATACTGTACAATTTTTTTTCAATTTTCAAACTTGGAATTTGTACTGATTGGTACATTGACTACTTTAAATAATTAAACTTTAAGTATACAGTAGTAATCCTCAATTCTAAAATAGCTGAACAAGATTACTTTTATATCCGTTTGAAATACCTGGATCAACAAATAAAAGAACACGGTTCGTATAGATATAGACGGGCGTGTACCCATTAGTTTACTTGTTTTATCTTTTTTTTATGGGAAAATTCCAATTAAATCTATCTAAAATAATGAAATTCCAATTAAGGTTTATACTTTTAACAAATTCCTAATTAGGCTAAGAGGCCTTATTAGGGATTTTCAAACGTTGCTAAAAGATCGGAATGCCTCTTTGTAATCAAAAAGGAAAATTGAATGTAGGTGTAAATCTAATTTTAGTTTTAATTATTCTAGTAGATTTACTAATGAGGACGTGGTCTTTCTTAGATTTTATGTCAAAGGTGTGTTTTGTAATTGTGAACCTTATGTCAACTCTAGAATTTATAGCCTTTTATTTTTTATATAATAAAAATTTGATATTGAATAAATGTTGAAGACCGGAAAATTGAAGATGAATTAATGAGTCTCACTGTAAGTTGTGAAATAGTAAAATTAATTTTGATAGATATTCAAGAATTCCATGAATCTTTGATTTGGTCTTTTTCTCACACAAAAAAAAAAAAATCTTTGATCTTGTTAATCTTTTGCATTTGAAATCGTAAAATTTTTATTAGTTTCCATATTTTTGCAATTCTATAGATATCTAGAAATTATTTATTTTTTTATCTTGAATTTTCAATTATTTTTTATTGGCTATAATCGTTATTTTTCTTTTTTTGTTTTTTATATGATAATGTTTTTGGCCAAATTTTCATGTGATAATGTTTAAAGAAAAAAACATGTTAGTTAAATTCAATTAAAAGAATTAAAACTAAAATTAGGCTTTTTAATTATGAAGGGCATTTTGCTCTTTTAGTAACATTTAGAAATCCCCAGTTAGGTCTTTTGGTCTAATTAAGAATTTGTTAAAAGTGTAGGCTTAAATTAGAATTTTTCTATTTCAAATGGATTTAATTAGAATTTTTCCTTTTTTTATATCTTATTATGAAAAAATAGCCGTCACCAATGGATCGATATTAAGTTAGATCAAACTAAATGGATCAATATCTTGATATCTAATCATCCAAATATATGCTTTCGCTCAATCACTACAAGAATTTGTAGAAGTAGCAGCGGAACCTTTCTAGCGGTTAAACAAAACCGCTAGAAATTTCAGTATTTCTAGCGGTTCCTATAAAAACCGCTGCAAAATACAGACGGTTTGACCATTAAACGCACATTTCTAGCGGTTACCCCCTAACCGCTAGAAAATTAGAGCTAGAAAATTCCCCGGGCTTTGGCGGGAACTTGGCGCCAAATTTGTAGCGTTTACTTTCTAGCGGTTCAGGCTAATAAACCGCTAGACACCGAAAAATTCTAGCGGTTGATGCATGAAGCGCTAGAAATTTTTTTCATTCCCCGAGGAGTTTAGAAATTTCTAGCGGTTCGGTCCTTAACCGCTAGCAATTTCTAGCGGTTCGGCTAGAACCGCTAGAAATTGCTAGCGGTTCAGGCCTAGAACCGCTAGCCAATTCCCAACGGTCATATGACCGTTGGGAATTTCTAGCGGTTAGGCACAAAACCGCTAGAAATTTCTAGCGTTTTTGTGCCTAACCGCTAGAAAGTCTCGGTCTATATATACCCCCCCACACTCTCACTTCTTCAATCGTTCTGGAAGCGAAGCTCTGCTGAATTTTTTTCACAAACATATTCGAGTTCTGATTCAGTTGCAGATCCTTATTTTCAGGTAAAAATAGTAATTTATTGATAAATAATTTTTATTTTATGTTTTATTTTATTAATTTTATTATGTTATAGCTTATAAATTAATTTTTTATTTCATTTATAAATAATTACTATTTGTTGTTATTAGGATGCCTCGTCGACACGGGAAAGACCCAGTTGATCCTGAGAGAGCTGGACCCAGTGAGGTTCATCATGATGCTGATGAGCCATTTCCCAGCATTCATGACTACGATCTGAGCGAGGAGGATATCCTCAGTTTTATGGAGCAGGATGGTGTTGAGCGGACTGAGGAGGCTCATTTTACTGGGGATGAGCAACCCCATGCTGATGCTGCTGACGAGGAGGAGGAGGAGGAGCAGGATCAGGGGAATGAGTATCCCCAGGCTGCACAGCGTCCTGCTCCGAGACGTCAGGCTGGTTATGAGGTGGAATTTGTCGGTAAGTATTTATTTAACTTTTTAAAGTTTTGATCAGTATTTAATTTATATAGAAATTATATTAATTTATTGATATATAATTTATTTCTTAATTAAATTTTGCAGACACTGAGGGGAACAGGTCCTATCGGAGGCTGACAGCCAGAGAGCTGTCTATGATGACGGGCGGACGAGTGGTTGTGCCGCTCAATGAGTTGGGCCAACCGACGAAGA